TTTCTCCACCACCCATCCCACCTGCTGTCAATTCCTCAAATGAGTTCCTCAGAATTTCCCCAAAATCATATGGGTTCTTCTTAATAGCATCAAGCATGGAAATAGCTTAAGTTTACTGCTGTTTCTTTGCTCGTGGAAAGAAGAATGACATTTAAGATGAAAACTGGTTCTTCATTTTCCTGTATATCCACCTCGCTTTGTTCACCTTTTCGAAGTAAAGCGGCTCCAAAGGTATGTATATGTTTTTCATCACTCGTATTTAACTACACATTTCTGCCTTTTCTTTTTGGTGATTCTGGGAGGCTTATTGGAAAAAATGTAATGATTTATTTTCTAAATGATTGAGATTTTAGCAGAGTTTTGTGGTTAAGCAATGCACAAAGATGCATTTGAATTTCTTTTGTTTTGATATACATGAGAGCTGTTAATGTTGGGTTCAAGTCCCTAAAGGATTTCGTTGGAGCAATCGAGGATTTTAACTGTTTTTGGGTCAATTAAGAGTCCGATCTTATACTTTCATTCCCTGCCAATTATATGATTAGATGTCTTCTATGGACCTGTTATAAAAAGGAAAACATGATTTCCAATTCGGATGCTCTCAAAGACTTCACCATGGCTGCAGGAAGTCTCAGAGCATGTAGAAGTCTTTTTATCCAAGATACGTTATTTTTTCCTTGAAAAAAGTTACTTTTTTGAAAGTTAACACTTTTCCTTGCCGTATCTTGAACTTTGACTAATGAAAAATGGTTATATATTTTAGAATTAACTTATTTACTTATTTTTTTTGCTTGGCCAAGCATGCTCTTAGTAGTGTAGAAGCCTTTTCTTTCAGGTACTTCCAAAATATTTACATGCTTGGCTTGAAGCATTACAAATTCTCTTCAGGTTTTTTGAGTAGCCCTATTTGAACCTCCCTCTGAGTTATTGTCCTTGCCTTGAGCCTCTCTCATAAATTCTTGACAACAAGCCACGCAAATAGAATAACAAAGTCTCAACTCTGGATACCTATAATTAATTGGGGTGATGATATGCATATCAAACCGTGTTAGGGAGGAATGTCAAACATATCTTTTTAACATTTGGTATGCACAAAACTGTCCATTTTGGACTCTTTATAAATAGCTCAAGGCTTAAAAATGGATGCCTATAATTGAGCTATACGGTGATATACTTAATAATATAGCATTGCTAGCGAGTGCAAGTAATCTCTAATATTGATATAGCCTTGGGTATGCAGAATACGAGCCTTTTTGGACTCTGGTATCAATAGGTTAAGGGTCAACAGTGAATAGGCTTATAAATCAGTGATACAATGGTATGCTTATCGATATAACTACAAAAAAGTTAGGTTGCCATGTTAACTCTAGTATCAATAGCTTAGGGTCGAACTATGAATTATGGATTATCTATCATTCAGTGATGTGATGATATGCTTATTTATACAACTGTGTTAGGATAAGTAAGGTTTGAATATTGATATCACGAAGAAGATCCCTAATTTGGAATTTTTGGAGCCAAAGATGAATGTATTGGAATTGCTTGGTATGCAAAAGTTAGTAATATTTAAGGGAAAAACTTTTTTCGTGAACTCGTGCCTTTTGTAATTATTGTAGAAGCTTCGAATTGAACAACTTATCTCTTTTACTTTTTAACTCCTACTTAATTAAGCTATTTTAATGGAGAACAAGTAATATCAATGCATTTATTTCCTTGGATGGAGTAGATAATTCCATTTAGCTCAAATAGATATAATTGTTAATATATTCCTCCTTTCTTCTCTCTATTAGTTTTAAGTGTTTGTGTGCATAGGTTTCTTTTTTCTTTTTCTTTTTTTTGTTAAATTTTTTTTTCCTTAAATATATTTTTTATGTTAATCATATAATGTTATTTAAAAAGAATGCTCTGACTCCTGCCTGTTGGTCTTCAGATGATCTCAAGGCTACAATTGTTCGAGAGACAGCAATGCGATACAGACCAGTTGAGAAATGTTAAAGGTAGCTATTTTTATTATGTTAAAATTGCCTTATGGATCATTTTTATAAAAGATGCAACTTACTTTTCTCAATCTTCTGAGAAGCATCAATTTTGCAGTTTAACTTACCTAAAATGTAGTGATATTTACTGATAAATAAACCACATATATAATTTTGGCCTTTTAAGAGTTTCTTCTCCAGTGGATTGTCACTGCAAGTTCTGATTTTGTTTGTTCAAGGATTAATCAAATTGGTAGATTTTAGTTAACATATATTTGAATTTTTATACCATGACGTGTCTAAACCATTACTCTAAATATCCTCTTTTTTTCTGCAAGTTGTTAAATCATGCCAGCTCATAGAAAGGTTATCAAAGAGGCGATGTATTCTCTTTGCTACAGCTGACGATCAGCCATACAGTGAGCTTGAACCTGATGATTTTGAGCAGGAAATTCAAGTCCCTTCTGCTGAAGATGCCTCCCCCACAAACAGTTCATACTTCCATGTTGAAGGATCTGAAGGAAAACCAGGCTTTATTTCATTCTACGATTGTCCTCGCCAGAAAGAAAATGAAATCTTGGTGTCTACTTCTGGGAAAAATGAAAATAGTCTGTTGTGGTTCGTCGGTCCCACTGTCCTTGTAGCCTCTTTCGTCTTTCCCTCACTTTATTTGCGCAAGATGCTCTCCACTATATTTGAGGACTCTCTATTAACCGGTAGGCAAAACTCGCGCTAGTTTGAGCTACTTCTTTGGTACCTCTCTTGCTGATGTTATTCCTTGGTTTCTTCCGCCTGCATCAGCTTCATCATTAACTTTATTCCTCCTTTTGAGTAAAAAAACCAAATTTATTGTGATAAATAAGTACTTGTTGATATAGATTACTTGCTATGCCTAATTCTGCGTTTCTTGATCTCTTTTTTTTATTATTTAAATGCTAATAGTCTATAGTTAGATGTTTTGATTTCACTTAATGTTACTGAAGCCATTTGAAGGACCTAAAAACCTGTTACAAAAGTTATCTTACTGCATAATAGAGCATTGACGTTCTGCTGTTTGATAACATTGTCAAATGGAGCTTCGGTACTACTTTCATTTCCTTGTTTCTTGGTTACCCTTCTATATTATGTTGCCATAAAAATTCTGAAAGGATTGCTAGTCTTTCAGAGCTTAAGCCTGTATGAAGCTTCTTTGTCGTCTGTTATTTTAGATATTCCGAACCCCTGTTGGAATAGTTGATGTAATTCATATTGAAATGAGGAAAAAAGTGACAAGTGAAGGGTGCTGATAACAGATGGATGATGATAAATCTTTAAATACACTGTTGAGTGAAGTTAGATGTTTCTTGTTGTTTGAACTAAAAAAATACGTTGGCTTAAAAGCATAGGAGCAGCTAAATTCAGTTTAGACATGGTCTGAGTGTTAGATACGTGTTCAAGTATGTCTGCAGATTGTTAGCACCAAGCTGCCAACATATTAGCTTAGAGCATATTTGCCTTCCAATGTGACCATACCTCTTTGGGTAGAAGAAACATTATCCATCCATTAAATTAAAGTAGTCCCTTGTCATATACACAGTTCATTTGATGATCCTACACTAAAAAAATTGCAGTGGCATGGAAACAAAATTTACTGATTGCAAAGTTATCATTGTTGTCATCAGGTAAGTTTATATGCACGTAAATAGAGCATAAAACTTTTATCACACTTAGCGTCATACTTCTTGAAAACATTTAGATTTTTCTATGCTAAATGGTAGGCTACTTCAGAGTTCAACTAGGTCAGGAAAAGGAAAAACAAATTATTGCAGTGATTATTATGTCTTGTGGTCAATCCATTACGACTTCTTTTTTGTATTAGGATATAGGCATTAAAATTATTTGCTTGTTTTGGCAGACTTTCTAATATTATTCTTCACGGAGGCACTCTTTTACTGTGGAGTTGCTGTGTTCCTTCTCCTAATAGACCATTTGAGGAGACCTATTGTTCCTGTATCCACAGACATAAACCTTACACCACATTTGGGACACAGAATCTCCTCTGTTGCTGTCTTGGTTCTTAGTCTTACAATTCCGATGGTGACTATGGGTTTTGTTTGGCCGTGGACTGGCCCTGCAGCTTCTGCTACACTAGCTCCCTACCTTGTTGGTCTTGTTGTCCAGTTTGCATTCGAGCAGTACACAAGATATATTATGTCTCCTTCGTGGCCTGCCATTCCCGTTATATTTCAGGTAAGAACACTGACCTTTCATTTCAACTTAGTTCAGAATCATGCAGAACATTTCATAGAATTGAATTTATACTATTTTAATCTTGTTATATCATGGTCCTGTTAATTGGAAATGTAATATGGAGTGCACACAAGTTGGCTGTTAAATATCACATGCCTTGCATGTGAAACATGTTTTCGAGAATATATTTGGCCATGTATCAATTTTCTCTAAATAAATAAATAAAAAGGCAAACTCGCCTTCCCCCCACATCTCACCTGCCCCCCTACCCCTACCCCTACCCCTGCCCACTTCACCAGACCTTCCCCCTCTCACACACAAACACCACAACTATGTGTGAATATGTCTCTCTCTTGTGTACCCCGCTGTCACTGCTTCTCTGCACTTCTCTGTTGTGCACCGTATTTTTTTGTTCTAGCCAAATTTATGTAATAGAGTACTTGTTTATAAGCACAAAACGATAATTACTTTCCTTGATTGTTTTCTTAAGCTGCCAACAATTCTGTTGATGGTTACCAGAACCCATCCAAATTCACCTATTAATATTGCTTTAGTTAGGACTCTAGGAAATTTCATTTTGGTCCCCCACTTTATTATAATTATCTTGGAGTCCTTCCCTAACAAGTTCACCATGAATTAATGATGCATTTGCTTTTCCCTTTCGACACTTCAGGTTTATAGATTCCACCAGTTGAATAGGGCAGCACAACTGGTAACGGCTCTCTCTTTCACAGTGAGAGGAGCGAAGATGACGTCACAGAACCTGGCAATAAACGGCTCATTAAGTACACTACTGAATGTCCTCCAGTTTCTTAGTGTCATCTCTATCTGGTCACTTGCAAGTTTTATCGTGAGATATTTTCCATCTCCCACCTCACCTGAACGGTAAGTAGCGGAAATAAAAACTGAAGATTATCGTCGTTCATGGTGAAATTGAAGAAGTTAGAAATCTTGAAGGTTGGATTAACCAGACGTCTTTGTGCGAAGTTCTTCATCATTTTCTTGGTTTGCTATCGTAGGAATCTGAAATAGATGAATACGAACATCACCTAGCATATTAATCACTGTCTCTAGAAAAGGAGGACGAGTGGTATAAAAGGGCTTAAATAAAGTTGCAGCATTCTTGATTATTCATTTTATAGGATCTTTTCATTCCGAGAATGCCATTTAGCGTCTACATGATTTATTAATATTTTATTCTCGACCAACAATTAAGTTCGTCGAACATTTTCTTGAGAAGTTGGTAAACTCTGCATGCTCATATTTCACCATTGTGTTCTTCCATTAAGATGTAGACTTGGGTTTGAATAATGCCACTTCGCCAAATGAATTTGACATCTTGAATTTGTCAAGAAAGATGGTAAATCTGTCTGGTAATGTGGTAAGGTTGTTTAGGTTTTTACACTTTGCATGTCCTAAATCTTGTAAATTTCGTATTGTGAATAGATTGTCATAGCCAAATAGCCATTATTTTAGGACAATCGTAACAATCCGATGCATTTAAGAGTCGAGGATTTTGTTTCAAAATCTTTTCGAGCTCATTTATTTCAATAATCTATTGGTCTTCAATTATTAAGTCGCGGTGTATCAAAAGAACCATTTATGGTTTAAATGTAACACATTTGAATGCACCATGGTGCTTAAATATATTGTCTTGACACAAAATTCATCTATGTTTATTTGAATATTGTTTTATTCGTCAACCCTTACGATTAATGGTTTCACGTGATATCAACATCTAATATAAAGTTCAAATTTCATATCTTATAAGTTCCATCTAATATTTAATTTTATTTAGCCCCTGTTTGACACACATTAAAATTTTCATTTTCATTCTTCTACTCATTTTCAACCCGCACATTCTTTAATAAAATAATATTTTCCATCACATCAATAACTTTTCTTTCTTTTTCAACCACACATTCTCTGTCAATCTACTATTCCAAAATAATATCCATCAGATACACCATTAAGAGAAAAAAAAATAACAAACATGGGAGAGAGATTTAAATTTTATTGAATCAAGTCAAGCAGAGTCTTTAAATAAGATGGAATTTTATATTCAATCATGTTACATGTACATCTTTTTTTATATTATTTTTGACATTGTTTCACATGGAGATTGATTGGAGAGTTTTGAAAAAAATATATATACATATTTTGTCGTCCTACTCTTCTTAGAACTTCAATGGAGTGTACACGAATATGTAAATTAGAGGATGTGCATTTAGCATTATTCATCTATCTTTGGTTTTTTTCACATCAACTCGACGGAATTCAACTAAAATTATTTTAAGTAGTGTCTATTTTTATTTATGTGGTATAAATGTTAAGAAATCCACTAACTAAAATTTAGGGAAATTTTCGCAACTACATCACTAAAACAAAATATTTTATGATTTACTACATAACATTAATAAATGTAAAAAATACTGGATGATATACATTTTATATTTACATATACTTACTTCCAAAAATAATACCATACACCTAATTTGTAACTGACCCAAAATGAATTTACCTATTTTCACATTTATCATTAATACATTTTCCTAAATAGAAAATATTAAATTAAAATAAACTGAAACACATTGAATCCAACCTAGTTACACGCCTTATCATTAATACATTCCCTAATCGAAGAAGACTTTCAAAAAATTGAGGATGGCCTGTCAGAATCAATTTTATCTGTTGAATACTCACGGTGGAATACATTTCCTCTGCATCACCAGATTCTGGCGACATTTGGGACGGATCTTACATGTTCGAAAGTGTAAATATCCAAGGTAAAATACTGCCATCTACATCTGATTTTGAAAAAAAAGCTCTAACTTTGTTGGGTTTTTTGTATTTTACTTTATAAATTCATCCTACCCGTCCGTAATTATACGTAACCGTCGAGCAATATTTGAGAATTTTGAATCTGAAAAACATGAATGTAGTGTCCGGCTGGTGATGACGTGAATGAATCATATTTTACTGTATGAAATTCTTTTGATTTTAATTTATTTTTGAAATCATGCTTTTGGGAACAAAAAATAAATAAATGGTTTATACCCACTACATATGCTAATCTCCCATCACATATGCTAATCTCTGTATAATTCAGCTCATTTCATAATTCTTTGTGTCCTTATACATAATCCGATATCCACTTTTAAAAATGTACGTCATTTGACCCTTTCACGTGATGATTTTGAGGCTGCATATAGTGGTAATATCATCTAATTGTGTTCACCTTCATTTCTACAAAAATTATAATTATTCAAGAATGATTTATTTTGCCATTGTACAGGAATGGACGCAATAAACGTATTTGTAGTGAATGGCGCAGATACTTTTGGTTTGCTTGTTCCGTATGGTTGCAATTACGCGGGACTTGTCGATATGATTGCGAATGAGCTGAAGGTTGATATGCGACGATCATGTATCAATATTGAGTATTCTGCAGATGTGGAAATGTCCCCAATCAGAATAAAAAATGACAGTTCCCTGCAATTTTACTTGGAGCTGAAGCGTAAGGATCCACGTATCACGGCATATGCATTACGTATCAACTTGATCGATATCTTACAACCGACAGACTATGTGCCTGTACTGAGAAGTGTGGAACAGATTCAATTTCAATCAGCTAACATCAATGGTTCACATCTTCCCACTGCTAATTTGACAATAAGAAATGAAGAAACACCTAATTTCATATCTGGCATTGAAGTTTTGGCGCTGGAGATTGAAGATGACATATATGAAGAAATTAATGCTGTAGCGACGTGGCCTGACGTACAATTTGTTCGTGAAAATCATATTTTCCGAGACAAGAATGTGTTGAAGAATACTCTTTCCTTGTACGCTATCCAAAATAACTTCCAATTTAAGGTCTACAAATCGGATAATAAGGAGTATGTGCTTAAATGTCTCTTGGAAAACTGCAAATGGAAATTTAGAGCTTCAAAGATAGGTAATACGGAAATGTTCAAGATACGCTATATAAGGGATGATCATACTTGCTCGTTGGATAGTATTATACGGGATCACAAGCAGGCGAACAGCGCCTTGATAGGCGAATGTGTTAGGCACAAATACACGTCCGCCCGTACTATTTACACTCCGATTGACATAATGAACGATATGGCGGAGATGTACGGAGTGACTATGAAGTATGGAAAAGCTTGGAGGGCTCGAGAGCATGCACTTGAGGTTGTTATGGGGGNTTGTTTCACATGGAGATTGATTGGATAGTTTTGAAAAAAATATATATACATATTTTGTCGTCCTACTCTTCTTAGAACTTCAATGGAGTGTACACGAATATGTAAACTAAAGGATGTGCATTTAGCATTATTCATCTATCTTTGGTTTTTTTCACATCAACTCGACGGAATTCAACTAAAATTATTTTAAGTAGTGTCTATTTTTATTTACGTGGTATAAATGTTAAGAAATCCACTAACTAAAATTTATGGCCTACAGCCTATGCCGGATCTTGGGTTCAAATTTCAAACCCATATTGAGAAAGAGAAACCCGATCCATCCACCGAATTTTATCTTCCATCTTCTAATGACTTTAAATTCTCAGAATATAGAGCTCTGATACCATTTTGTGGGTGGTGGTTCTAAAAATGCAAAAATACAATTAACTCAAAAATAATCAATATCAAATTTTTCGGGCTAAAGATAGGTGGAAAGAATTGATGGTGAAGAAAAGTTAAATTTTTATTGCAATGGGCAAATAATTTGTTGAATTCAAAATTAGAATTAAAGTTTTAAGGGCTAAAATGAAATTTATTTAATATTAGAATGACTTGTTTTAAAACCTTTTATATTAAGGCTATTTTAGGAACTTTAAATTTTTAAAATAGTAAGAGGGTATTTTGAAAAGTGAATTGTTGAATTTGGGTATTTTCAATAATTTCTCGTAAGGAAGGTACCCAGTTTTTACAAGTTTTACAATCCGATTACAATATCCAAATTAGGGTTTCTATTCTGAAATCTTTCCATATCTGAACTTTTCGCTGCTCATTTCAGGTTTAACGCCCGTCTCTCTCTTCATATACTTACATATAAATATAGGCGGATTTCTATTTTACGAAGTAATTAGGGATTGGACCTATACTTTATGTTGCAGTAGATGATAGGGAATTTTTTATTATGATTTTTTTGTTCCTTTGGCTCGCTCGATAAATTCAATTTAGTCTTTTTATTTTATTGGTTGGTTATATTTTGAAGCAGATTGTTATATAGCTCATTTTTCTGAGTTAATTGATACTTGATTGGAGGAAATGGCGTCAAGATTTTGGACCCAGGTATGTTCTCTTTCCACTTCTATCAATACATTTTTTTAAAGTTATTTTCCGAATTCAAAATCTATTTTTTTTTCCTGAATTTGATTTTTCTGAAATTTTCACACTAATTTCAATATTAAAATTTTGATGTTGTGCATGGCGTTTTGAATTTAGTTACCTTACTTCGAAGTGCATTAATAACTTTTATATTTTAATAATACATCTCTAGTAGGTATTATTTGATACACGTTTGCTTAATTGTAATCTGAACTTTGCCAAATTTAGTGTGATTTTAGACTTATCAAAGTTTTGGATTTGAAAGATGGAGTATTTGTTTTCTTATCTTGAAGAAACCTGGATAGGACAAGACTTGTGTGTTTACCTACTGAAGGTTCAACACTCTATATATTCTTATATTGGTTATTGGGATTGTAGGGTGATAGTGACACTGAAGAGGAGGAGGAGGAGAGTGATTATGAGCCAGAAGACAGTGAACCAGTGGAAACAACTGCAACAACCGGAAGCAGATATCTCCAGGGTAATGCCAGCGATAGTGATGACTCAGATGGGCAGAAGCGCATTGTCCGATCTGCCAAGGACAAGCGTTTTGAGGAGTTGTCTGCCACAGTCGATCAGATGAAAAATGCTATGAAGATCAATGACTGGGTCAGCTTGCAAGAGACCTTTGACAAGATCAATAAGCAACTGGAGAAGGTCATGAGAGTTACAGAGTCAGATAGAGCTCCTAATCTTTATATTAAGGCTCTTGTGATGTTGGAGGATTTCTTGAATCAGGCCTTGGCCAATAAAGAGGCAAAGAAGAAGATGAGTAGTAGTAATGCGAAGGCCTTGAATTCAATGAAGCAGAAGTTGAAGAAGAACAACAAGCAGTATGAAGATTTAATTAACAAGTACAGGGAGAAGCCAGATCTTTTTGAGGAAAAAAATGAGGGTGAAGAAGAGGATGAGGATGACGAAGATTCTGAGTTCGATGAGGATCCATCTGAGCTTACAAGGGTGGGTTCTGATGAGGAGGATGTGGATGAAGATGAAGTGGACAAAGAGTCATCTGAAACTGGACTTGGTTGGGAGAAGATGTTGAGCAAGAAAGATAAACTGATGGATAAGCAGTTCAAGGATCCAAGCCAAATCACGTGGGAGACTGTCAACAAGAAGTTCAAGGAGATTGTTGCTGCTAGAGGTAGGAAGGGGACTGGAAGAATTGAATTGGTTGAGCAGCTCACGTTCTTAACACGAGTTGCTAAGACTCCTGCTCAGAAGCTTGAGATCCTTTTCAGTGTGGTCTCTGCACAGTTTGATGTTAATCCGAGTCTCATTGGGCACATGCCAATCAGTGTGTGGAAAAAGTGTGTGCATAATATGCTTGCCATTCTTGATATTTTGACCCAATACCCAAATATTGTGGTTGATGACACAGTGGAGCCTGATGAGAATGAGACCCAAAAAGGAACAGACTTCATTGGAACAATTAGGATTTGGGGAAATCTGGTAGCATTTCTTGAAAGGATAGATGTGGAATTTTTTAAGAGTCTTCAGGTTATTGATCCACACACCCGTGAATATGTTGAGAGACTTAGGGATGAGCCAATGTTCCTAGTTCTTGCTCAGAATGTCCAGGAATATCTGGAACGCGTTGGGGACAATAAGGGTGCTGCGAAGGTTGCCCTTAAACACGTCGAGCTCATTTATTATAAGCCACAGGAGGTATATGATGCTATGAGAAAGTTGGCTGATTTATCGGATGACACAGGAGAAACAGAGTCCGTAGAGGAACCTAAAGCTACTGATGAAAGTGGGAGACCACCTGCATTTGTTGCAACTCCTGAGCTGGTACCTCGTAAACCTACCTTTCCAGATGATAGCAGGACCTTGATGGACATCCTTGTCTCTCTCATATACAAGTATGGAGATGAGCGTACTAAGGCTCGTGCAATGCTTTGTGATATTTACCACCGTGCTATCTTGGACAAATTTTCAACAGCCCGTGACTTGTTGCTCATGAGTCATCTGCAGGATAATGTTCAACACATGGATATTTCAACCCAAATACTTTTCAACAGAGCTATGGCACAGCTTGGACTCTGTGCATTCAGGGTGGGACTTATGGTCGAGGGCCACAGTTGCCTCTCAGAACTGTATTCTGCTGGCAGGGTGAAGGAATTACTTGCTCAAGGTTTCGCACAAAGTCGATATCATGAGAAGACACCTGAACAGGTAGTATTTTTATGCTATCTTCACAACATTTCATTTTTATTTTTTATTTTTTATTTTTCCGCTTTCTCCTACATTGTACATATTGTTTCCATGGAAAGTTGAGTTTAGATTGAAATGAAATTTCTATAAGAAGATTAGAAGTGCTAACTTGAGGCAAGTTCATACTTGGGACTGTAACTGTACAAAATTGGTGTAAATTGTTGGATTGTAGTATGCACAAGATCAGGATATATTCTGGTACTTAGATAGTTAATAGTGTTGAGATTTCTATTTATTAAAACTTTTCTGGAAGTGATATAATCGAGACTTTCAGGTATTTGTACATATGTAATGATGGAAAAATTATTGCTACTTGTGTAATATGTGATAAGTTATGTATATATTTTTTATAATTTATTCTTAGCATCGACAACTGTGATTTGTTTTTCCTGTTCCAAAAACCCTTATTTCTGTGCTGTCATTAATATTGAATGATAAGTTAAAATAAGCACTCCTGCTTTCATGAGCTCTTTTGAGGGTAGTAATTGGGCTTCACCTGATTTAAGTGAATGCATGTTAGCCTATATTTGGCTCATGTTTATAAAGTGTATATAAAAACTTGAGTCACTTTCCATACACACATTTGAGGGACTCACAAGTGCTACTCACTTATCGACCACTCATTTCTATATATTTATAAACAAAACAATTTATATGCACTTTGGAAACATGCTTTTAATCACATTGGTTGTTGTCATACTATATTTTTTCTTGATGTATTTGGCTGCCTAGAAGTTTCGTTAGTAGCTTTTGGAGGTGGTTTAAGAGTATTTTTAATGATATGTTGTTGGAATCTTCCAGGAACGGCTGGAAAGGAGGAGGCAGATGCCATACCACATGCATATAAATCTTGAGCTTCTTGAGGCTGTCCATTTGATTTGTGCTATGTTGCTTGAGGTCCCAAACATAGCAGCCAGTGGCCATGATGCCAAACGTATGGTCATAAGCAAGACTTTCAGGAGGTTGCTTGATGTGAGTGAGAGGCAAACATTCACTGGTCCTCCTGAAAACGTTAGGGACCATGTAATGGCTGCCACAAGGGCTCTTAGGCATGGGGATTTCGAGAAGGCATATGATGTAATCAAATCGCTTGACGTTTGGAGGCTTCTTCGAAACAAAGATAATATCCTTGAGATGCTAAGGGCCAAAATGAAGGAAGAGGCTTTAAGGACCTACCTGTTTACATATTCATCCTCTTATAATTCTCTGAGCCTGGATCACCTAGCCCAGATGTTTGATCTTTCCAATGCAAAGGCTCGTAGCATTGTAAGCAAAATGATGATCAACGATGAGCTTCATGCAAGTTTGGATCAGCCAACCCAGTGTTTGGTGTTCCATGATGTTGGACACACAAGATTGCAAGCTCTGGCATTCCATTTGACAGAGAAACTTGCCATCCTTGCAGAAACTAATGAGCGAGCTATTGAGGCACGCATTGGTGGAGGATTGGACAGTCTCCCTCACAGGCGCAAGGATGGACAAGATTATGCTGCAGTAGCTGCTTCTGGTGGTGGTGGTGGTAGGTGGCACGACTTCTCTTTCTCACAAAATAGGCAAGGCAGCAGTAGTGGTCGAACGGGATATAATATCGGAGGTGGCAGAGGTCAACATAGAGACCGGACTGATCAGTTGAGATCTGGTGGCTACCAGAATTCACGATATCATGATGGGATGGGGCGACCTGGTTCACGGGGAAATCAGATGGATTCATCAACCCGGATGGTTAACCTCCACCGGGCAGGTCGTGCTTAGCGCGAGAAAGTGGACAGACTCCTACTTGACTGTTGGCCTCAGGAATTATTTTTATTTCTCCATTCTATGTCATTTTTATTTTATTTATTTTATGAGATTTTCTCTGTATTAGAGCAGAAATTTTTGACGCAATACTCTGCAACCCCTGTTATTTTTCTAGTTTCTGAAGCTCGGTAAGACATTAAAATGATTCTGTCTGTTTATTAGCACAGATGACTTTTGGTTTTGGTTGGATTTTTCTATTATTAGTTGCAGACTACTCTCATGACCGTGGGCCATTGATCTGAATTTTTCTGTAGTTTGCACCCGCTTGGCTCTTGCTGCGCCAGACCAAACCCTCTTACTTTACACCCTCGTGGTCAGTCAGAAATGCTGACTGATAAGTCAACTTGAAGAAACATTTGAATTGTAGTTGGATAACCTGATCTTCCATTTGAAATTTAGCCTATGTTTGGTGTAGTTAAAGATCAGAGTTTCCGTAGATTTTGATGAAAGTTGATAAAATGTGTGGTTGAAAATTGTTGGTTCCAAGAAATGTGTGGTTAAAATTACTTGTTAATTTAGACTGTCAGCAAGTTTTTAATCTACGTTTAGTTTGAAACAATTGAGTATGTGACCACCTGCATTTTGCATCCTATACTATCATGTTCCTCTGTTATGATAGTATCAGACTCAACTCAGTCAAATTTTCCTATGACCTTGGTTTATCATTTGATCTATTAGCATTTCTTAAGATACGAACAAGTTCCATTTAAGTATAAAAATAGAAAGATTCAATAGATAATTAGCTAATTAGCTCCATTTTGGTGTAATGTGAATGAAACTTGGCTGAAACTAAGTGAAGTCTGGACGAATTTATGTTCATCATATGCAACCTCGTATTCGATTATTGAATGCAATGTCATTCTTCTACCTGAAATATATCAAGGATTGAACTTTAATCACTACTTCCTAATGTAATAATAAGAAAATATCATGCTTCACCCACAAAAAATGAACATCATAAATTTTTTACCAGGTTTGACTTAAGAACTGCAGCAGAAATGCCGAACCTCCAGTCTTGTTTGAAAGTCAGGTTAGCGAGCTTCTTAAATAACTAAGTTGTAATTATTTCCTTTGGAGAAATTAAATTAGGTGCAAGGCTCCTGCATTTGAAAATGAAGCAAAAGGAAACGGAAAACGAGGTCAAGTCTGCTAATGTAAAGAAGGGCATTTCTCCACCGCAGCCATCCGTGCCACCACTTCTCAGGTTTGTTGGTACACAGAAACGAATGGTTATGTCCCCGACTAAGCAAGAGATTGCTAATTATTAGGAGAAGAAGCGAGTGGTGGAAGAAGATCACCTGCTTGCAGCTACAAAGGCTGTAGCCCATATCAGGGCCAAGAAACTCTTGGCAAGTTTTATCTACCCTGAAACATGTAATTTAACAGCTTATATTGTAAGAAGAGAGACGTTTATTCATTTAAATTTATACCTTCAAGACTTCAACCTGCCCTTTCAAGTATAGGCCATATTCAGTGCACAAATCAACAATTTTTATAAATGGGTAGCTAAGTATTCTAAAATATATTAAATAAACTTTTAAACGAAGTGGTTCATCATGGTCAAACTCTCAATTGTTTGCTTTGTCAAATATGAAAAAACTTTTGATTCCCTTCAAATGACCCGACTTCTCAACTAAATATAGTCGTCTCAGGTCGAGTAATAACAAAATACTTGTATCCAACTGAAAAAATAGAATGGAGTACAAGAGCATATTTGATATACTGGATTGGATAGAACTAACATGATTCAAGAACGTATGCATACGACAAAAACTTTTAGACTGAAATTGTAACTCTGTTCAGGTAAAGTACAGTGCTCGGGAGGATAATTACAAACCATATGAAAAGTCCAAGGAAGATGATCACAGTAAGGAGATTGACAAAAGCACCAAAATTTCTGGTGAAGAATATGAAAAGAATGAGATAAGAGTTGGTATAAAGGACTGGTAAGTTTAATTATTTACTCAAAAATTTGGAATCAGTTACGTAAATATTATTATACGCACACAAGGTTGCGAAAATTGAAAACTCTAATAAAACTTTCTATCCCACTTGTTTTTGAAAATTGGTTTCTTGAGTATCGTATCGTGTAGCATTTCTGTTTCCGCTTTCAAGATCATACAACTTCGTTTGTTTCGCGTATATGAGAATGTTGCAGAGATGAAATTCCATACTCAAATTACTGAAAATTGAAATTTTGTTTGAAGGATTTATAAATATATTATTGAATTCATGTGTGCAGGTGGACTAAGAGCAAATATGCATACCTAAACCAACCAGCAATAAAATCCACCACTTACATTCCCCAGTACTCTGTCCCTTGCAAGTCTGCAGCTTCCCCACCAACTACAAGTAAAAACTCACTTGTAAGTAGGGACGTAGCCAGGATTTCAATCTTGCGGCGAAAATACGGGGGGTGGCCCCCTCCAGGGGTCCGCCCCTGAATTTTTTTTTTAATTAAGAGGATTGAAAACGACGATTTTGAGTACCAAAATAGGCAAGTTAGATTGACTGACCAAAAAGAGAATCAGTTTGTCGATACAAAAATAATATGTTCATCTATGTGTCTAACGCTATACAAATTGAAAATATGAACGTTAGATGGACATAAAAAAGACAAAAAGTAAACTGCCTATCTATATAACAATGGTAGAGATGTCTTGGACATTTGAAATTGGTTTCTCCTTGTTCTCATCACTTCAAACTCGTCAATAAGAGAATTTAATGGAAAAGTATCAAAATAAAAAATTTCAAAATTTTGCAAGGGCGAGTCAAATTTTTTGCAGGAGTTAAACTGAAAAATACATTACAAATTAACTTGGAACAAATCGAAATTCCGTAGCCTATTTGAGACAATTATGCTACATGTGCATCTTTGTTTTACATTATGCCACTTGTCGACACATGATTGAATAGTTTTAAAAAATATATATTTATCCGTCCAACACTTTTTGAATTTCCATACAATATAAAATAAGATGTGATCCATAGAGATAGAATGTACACTTAATATAATTCTATTTGAGATATAATTTTTTATTTTCTAAATTAAAATTTATGTCAATTTGAAGCTAACATTTTAATTTTCCCTTGAAGCATTTGAGGCCTAGTTCTTGATCAATATCAATATTCTTGTCTTAGATTAAACATCTTATTATCTAGTCGACAATTATTTTAGTTTTCCAATTTCGATTGAATTTCACAAAAAAAATCAACTTTACTTGAAAATATTATAAAGTTCGATGATCACTCGAAATCATTTTAAAATTCAGTGAGTAAAACGTGACAGTGATATAAGTTCAATGACTAATAAAATATGGAGAGTGAGTAATCACTCAAGAAAGGAAGAATCTAGCGAGACCTAGAAAAACTTGCCTCTAAGCTCGTAAGTCAATTTTTTTTTTTTTCCAATTTCTGGATAATATGATTTATTTTTTTATTTTTTTCAATTTTCGCCTTATAAATTGAAGGTTTGAGGTCAATTTCCACACACTGTTATTCCCAGGTTGCCTATCAACGAACTTAACGGTAAATAACTGACGTCTGACGCAACACTTTTATCCCTCGCATTCTATATATATCTACATACACGCACGCATTTCTTGCTTGGAGGGGGCACACAATTTACAGTTCATCAACCCATTTTGTGTTTTTGATTTTGTGAGGTATTGGATTCCACAATGTGTTTGTTGAAATGCCTGAATGGAATTGACCTTTTAATTCAACTTTTTTCTGATTTTTATATTTAGTTTGAATTCAATATACATGGACGTGGGACATAGCTACTTAGAGGGCAACGCGGATGCGGTCGAGTTCTGTCCTCAAGATTCATTCCATAATGTTCTCGCAGCCTCTACTTACACTCTTCAAGAGGGTGATCGGCCCAGCCGAGTAGGCAGCATTTCTCTCTTTGATGTCGATACTGATGCTTGTCGACTCAACTTGACTCAGAGACTGGAAACAGCTGGCATTTTTGACATTAAGTGGAATTCGGGATTCGTGCAAAATATGGGCCATCCTCTGCTTGCTCAAGCTGATGCTGATGGATATGTTAGGATTCATAGCCTACAAAGTTCTGATTTAGATGGATCAGATGTTTATGGTATGCTCGAGTTTTGCTTAACTCGGTACAGTCTTGAGTGGTCCAATTTTAGTGCAAATTCCTCTCTTGTAAGATACAATACTAGTACTAGAAATAAAGAGCTTGATCTCAACTCTTGGATTCATCTATGCTGAAATTCATGCATGGATAAAGTAAATAGTACCACTGAAGCCTTTTATCTGAAAAAGAGTATTAGTTTCCCTGGAGAATATGACGAGTAATAGGTGCCATTAGTTGTTTGTTTTCTCCCTTTAAAGTAAGTTTGTAGCATACATGTCCAAGATAATACTCTTATGTCAAACGGGAAGAATGAAAATTCTTAATTTTTCCAGAGCAAGATGTAAATTGTAGATAGTGGGAGCATATTAAATGGGCATTGTGTACCTAGTATTGTAAATAGTACATTAGTTTACTCAGTTGAGATATCAGATAACAGGGTAATTACTTGAAGATCAAGTTGGTTTCTAAACACGTGTTATTAAATGATCGACAACCAAGTCAAGAGCATGTTTGGCTAAGCATAAACACAAGTCAAAATTACTTCTATGTAACTTTTTGTTTCCAGACATGTTTGGATAATTTATTCTTTTCTTAATTTTCTGTAAAAGAACTTGCTTATTTTGAAATGAACTATGACCTTGCTATCAAAATAACTTACTTATTTTCCATTTTGGATCAATAAAGAAATTATCTATTGTACCAAATTTTTTATTTACTTATAAGTTTCTGCCACTTCACATATGCAGTATTTTGTTATTGATGAACTGCCACAGATGAGATCTTATTCTTGATACAGGGAATTACCTGAAAGAGCTATGTGGCAAGCATATCAGTTCTTCCATGTGTTTGTGCATCGACTGGAATCCCTCTTCCACATCCATGACAGTGGGCCTTTCAGACGGATCGGTCTCTATAATCTCTATGCATGAGTCCCAACTAAGTATTTTACAAGACTGGAAAGCTCATGAATTCGAGGTCTGGGCTACTTCCTTTGATGTACATCAACCGCAACTAGTATACACGGGATCAGATGACTGCAAGTTTAGTTGTTGGGATTTGCGAGATGATCCTTCTAACTCGGTATTTCAAAATGCAAAAGTTCACAAAATGGGAATCTGCAGTATTGCAAAGAGTCCTAGTGACCCGAATATTGTACTCACTGGTTGCTATGATGAGCATCTAAGGGTATGGGATGTCAGATCCATTTCATATCCCATAAGTGAAACTTCAATATGTCTAGGTGGAGGAGTTTGGAGAGTTAAGCACCATCCGTCTATACCAGGCCTCATCTTGACTGCATGCATGCATAATGGGTTTGCAGTTGTCAAAATTAAAGATGGTCGAGCTGAAGTAATTGAAACGTACAAGAAACACGATTCGCTTGCATATGGAGCAGATTGGCAGAGAGGGGTTTCGTTTGTGACAGGAAGAAGGAATAGTAAAGCGATCGCCACTTGCTCATTTTACGACCGGCTCCTTCGCGTATGGATACCAGAATGTGATATCTTTAATTGACTTTGTGATTTCATAGTCATACTTTTTGAGAAATCTGGATCATGATGGAAGATGAGGCAGGATGAATGTTTGAATAGAAACATTGATTGCAAAACTCAAACCATTTCTTTGTCTTAATTCTCGTAGATCTAGCAAGGAACCGGATGGAGTGGCAAAAAAACGATTCAGGATAGCCAACCATAAATGGACAATGCTTATTAGTTTATTGTTATTGTCTTAATTCATAATAAAGAATGATAAGTGTAGGCAACTCATTCTAATATTAACTAATTGCCTTCTTCAGAATCAATTTTATACTTGTAGGCTTATTGCTTAGGTCTTTGAAATGGTATTTTGCTTGTCTGATTTTAAGTTGAAATAAATGGCCAATTCTGGCAGAATTATCTCCATTTGAGATGCGTCAGCTTCTTTTGCTTGTCGTTTGCCTAAATATTCCGCTGGCCGTGTTTGATACATAGTTGATAGTAGACAAAATTTAACTTCATCTTCTCTTCCTTAATCTTGTTTGATACTACTCGGACCACATCTAATGGGCTTCCTTTGAAAGTCCGTGATCTGGCTAGTAGTGAAAGGCCCACTAGTCTACCAGCACTAGGGCTTAACAGAAGCCCAAAAGTTCGCCATTGTTTTCACCTAATGAAAGGATGTCACTCCAGAGTCTATGCATTTGATGAAGTGGAGTGAGTTGAATCCTTCCGTTTTTCACCTACTCCATGTATAGAATCAAAGATGTCTGATGACATGCAAAACATGGATAGAAATCAGCACTGATCAGGAAGTAAAGGGAACCTGAGGATGGCTTGTGCTGGCAAGTCATTGCCAGCCAAGGACAATGTATCTAATCCACCTGTCTCGCCTATTAAAAATTCAATTCAGAATGACTTGAAAGTCATGAAATTTCAAGCAACTCAGCAGCAATCCCTAAATATGAATTTCCTGAGAATGTCTCAGGTGAACAATCAAATGTTGTCAATAAGCAAAGCGAGGGGGTTAATCAATACCTTGGGGTTCAAAAAGCTTGTGGCAAGACTAGTATGGTAGCCTGTGATGTAATGGTTGTATGTTGGATGAATTCTCTAAGATTGAAGGCTTTGATTTATACCAAGGTTACAGATCATATCTCTGGAATCATGCTTCAGTATTCTGAAGGTATGAAGAACATAGATCTTCCTGCTCTTGTATTCATTATGCTAAATTGGAAAGCTATTAATTAACCTGATTTCTATTAGCTCCTTCTTTTCTTTAGTGGTTATTATGCTCACCTGATTTTGCCAAAAGAAGGAATATTGAACTACACTTATCTGTGTGCAAATTTGATGATTTGGTGAAAATCGTGAAGTAAATAGTTTCTGAGCATGCTCCATTGGCGTTACTGTATTCCTTGCTTTAAAGAAGGACAAGTCTAGGAAGGTTTTAACTTCTAAAGTTCCCAAATGGGAGTTCAGGACTCATTCTTTTCCATAGTTAATGATGATCTTGATGAAATTGTCTGTTTGGATCCCTGAGGACTCGTTGCTTTGTGTGTCCATATTACAGGTTTGCATAGAAAGCTGATACGTCTCCCTGCCTAACTGGTCACCATCGTATGGTGTCTTTAGTAGGAAAAAGAAAAGAACAAAGAATTACCTGAAGATTTGTTGCTAAAGTAATTACAGGTTGCATGCTGGAAAGAAAAACAGATACGTCCCTGTAAAGATTTTAAAGGGAAGCAAAGTTTACATTAGAGGATTATGGCTTGCTTGATTGGAAAGTTGTAAGACTAGCCTACAGGAAACGAGCAAGAGCTTGAGATATCAGAGATTATGCCAAGAACTTGATAAACCGTGAGGAAGTAAATGAAGAGGGAGAAGAATTGAGATACATAGGATTACAACTAGGTTTCTTAGACATCACATCAAGTGAAAAAGATGCAAAGAATATACGACCATGCTATATGTACAGGCGCTATATACATGGAGTTTCCAGGTTGACATGGCTATTTAAAAAAAAAAAAAAAAGCGGCAAAAACTAAAAATCAAAATATGGAGAAGTTGCATTCATTTCCCCAAAAATTGAAACAATTATGCTTCTTGTACAGGCTCAATGACAACCGGTGGCGAATTCGGGATTTTAAATGAGCACAGGCAACCATTGACTGTCGGACGCAATAAAATATTAAAAATTAAATATAACAATTATTTTGCTAAAACTAAATATATATAATTATGTTATATATATCAATAATATTCACCAAATGACATAGTGGCCAAATTTTGTATAATTCAAAGGAAGAGCACATGTTCGAATCTTTCCAATTGCATTAAAATCGCTAAAACTTAACATACATTATTTTGTTACATTTAGTGTCAAAATTCAACAAATGTCTTGACGTCTTTCAATAATCGTAGAAAGACCTCACAGGTTCAAATCCCCTTCTATTACATTTGTTTTGGTAAAAATTATATAGAACTAGAAAAATTGCACAATTAATTGGTATGGAAGAGATTCGAACCAAGTACTTTGAATTTTGAATTTGAAGGCGCTAACCAACTGAACTAATAGAAACGTTCGAAAACAAAATGAATTATTAGATATATAACCTAATATTTTTGTCTATTCTTAAATTAAAAAAATAAAAATAAAAATTGTTCCGACAGATCCAACATGTGCGGCTGTCTGTGCTTGCTGGGTGTTGGATCCGCTATTGATGACAACATGGTTGACACGGTTTTTAAAAAAGAACAATGTGTCACTGGAAAATGAAGGAAATCTGATTTTAGTGTCATACATAATTGTAGAATTTACCAAAAAAGGGCGCATTATTTCTTCATTACACGTCCAAAGCGCGTTGAATATGACCCTTGTCAAAGAGGACTTGCATTAAAACCAATCCCAAAATTTGGACTTTTCTCTGAAGATTTTGATATGTTCAGATAAACTACCATGCATTAAGCTATAAATGTTTTCTATAGTATTGGCTTGGTATTCCTTTCTTTTGGTGTTCTACTGTAACAATATTTATTCCCACCAGCTTGGTAAGGCCAGCATGTTAGCACGTGTACCGGGGGGGGGGGGGGGGGGG